GTGTGTGTGTGTGTGTGTGTGTGTGTGAGCAAGAAGAGAGAGAGACGTTTTGCTAAATACTGCTGAGGAGCTTTGCTTTGGTCATTTGTAAAGACCCTTTTGTGGATTTATCCATATTCATCCCACCTCTACTCAACACACAATCTGGACATTTATCCACCATAAATTTAGCACATTTAAATAAACAATATAGATGTATTATTATTTTTTATTTTTTTTTGTAAGAATAATTGTTTGCTTTTGTGAGTGCAATGATACAGGAACATGGAGGGGAAGTCAGAGGGGTGCATGACAGTGCTGTAGTCGGGGCCATATATGCAATATGTATACACTGTATGCTTTCTTTTTTCACACAGACTGTTTGCGTATTACGACTTCTAAGGATCAATATTTGCGTATACCCTCGGTATACCCATTTGTTTGTTGCTTCGCAAGTCCATAATCTCATGTAGCTTCCCCTTTAATGGTGTCCCATACGGTTGTGTGATTCTTTGTTGTAATTTTACCTTTGGTGGTATGCACCTAAAAGTTGTTTGCAATCCGCCATTAACCAAGACAAGAAGAAGTAAATCTACCTTTTCCCGCCCATCATTGACGGCGCGTGTCCTCTGCTGCAGCGAGAGAACTCCGCTCAATGCCGCTTGCGCTCCGTGTTCGGTATGGGAAGCCAAACACACCAAAAGTGGGATGAAACAGCGCTGTATTAAAGTGTTCGCGCCGTATTAAAGTGTTCGCGCCGCGCTGACCTGTCATCGGCGCGGCTCAATGGATCGAGCTGCGCGACCGACTCGACAGCGCAGGGCGAACATGTTTGCTAGCGCCACCGAATGGACAGCACGGCGCTGATCAATTAAAACCATGCCGCGCGAACATTATGCTGCATTAATTTCATGTGTTTTTCCCTGTACATAACATAATGAAGATCAGTATTAAGTTATTACATTTCTTTTGCTTATTATCCTTCATATTACTATTACATGTAAAAAGTGTTAGCTAGTTTGAAGAATTGCATACAGTATAGCCTGTATATATATATATATATATATATATATATAAAATCAGAGACTAATGATTTACTAATATATATTGATATGTGTGTGTTTCTCTAGCAATTACAGGGAATGGCCAAGGTGATGCTATTTAACATTCATATTGCAATTTCATTTAATGGCTAGGTTTTTAAGGCAGGGATGGGGGACAGTGTACTGTATTGACGGTAATTGCACTGCATTAGCCTATTTAGGGTTAATGGAAAACGTATACACTAAACTTACCAGCCTACACTAAAAATTATACACTAACCGTAACCCCGTTATTTGTAGTAAGACTGTCGTTAAACAAATGTCAATAAATCTGCCAAAACCATGATTACTGCACTTTTACTATAGTAAAACCATGGTTAATTTCCAGATTTCCGTAAGGGAAAGTTAATAGATAATGTCCTGGCAGAAAATTATCAGTAAATTTTACTCTTTTTTCAGTTTAAACATATGCTACAGTTACACAAATATAAATGTAAAATTTACCTAAAATATGCCTTGATGAATAAAACCTAAAATTCTAAGAGGACTACGGTATTGTAAATCATTAAGGTTTCTGATTTGAACAGCTCTTTGCTACTGTGCAGTTCTTCAAACTAGCTAACAATGTTTACATGTAGTAATATGAAAGATAATAAGCAAAAGAAATGTATAACTTAATACTGATCTTCATTATGTTATGTACAGGGAAAAACACATGAAATTAATGCAGCCTAATGTTCGCGCGGCATGGTTTTAATTGATCAGCGCCGTGCTGTCCATTCGGTGGCGCTAGCAAACATGTTCGCCCTGCGCTGTCGAGTCGGTCGCGCAGCTCGATCCATTGAGCCGCGCCGATGACAGGTCAGCGCGGCGCGAACACTTTAATACGGCGCGAACACTTTAATACAGCGCTGTTTCATCCCACTTTTGGTGTGTTTGGCTTCCCATACCGAACACGGAGCGCAAGCGGCATTGAGCGGAGTTCTCTCGCTGCAGCAGAGGACACGCGCCGTCAATGATGGGCGGGAAAAGGTAGATTTACTTCTTCTTGTCTTGGTTAATGGCGGATTGCAAACAACTTTTAGGTGCATACCACCAAAGGTAAAATTACAACAAAGAATCACAAGTTTCACACAACCGTATGGGACACCATTAAAGGGGAAGCTACATGAGATTATGGACTTGCGAAGCAACAAACAAATGGGTATACCGAGGGTATACGCAAATATTGATCCTTAGAAGTCGTAATACGCAAACAGTCTGTGTGAAAAAAGAAAGCATACAGTGTATACATATTGCATATATGGCCCCGACTACAGCACTGTCATGCACCCCTCTGACTTCCCCTCCATGTTCCTGTATCATTGCACTCACAAAAGCAAACAATTATTCTTACAAAAAAAAATAAAAAATAATAATACATCTATATTGTTTATTTAAATGTGCTAAATTTATGGTGGATAAATGTCCAGATTGTGTGTTGAGTAGAGGTGGGATGAATATGGATAAATCCACAAAAGGGTCTTTACAAATGACCAAAGCAAAGCTCCTCAGCAGTATTTAGCAAAACGTCTCTCTCTCTTCTTGCTCACACACACACACACACACACACACACACTCTCTCTCAATCGATCGACTT